CTCGTCTGTTTTTGTTGACTGAATTATTCTGCAAAACAGAAAAGCTTTCATTGTTCTGTGAAGCAGAAGTGGAAAGCTAAACCATGCTCTTTTAAGCATCAGTCAAAGGTGGAAAAAAGAAAAACAAGCCACTGTTGGCAATCTCAGGAGGCATTCTGCTTGTGAAGAAGCAATAAGACTAGAATGTCTTCAAGACTACTGAGGCATGACTCCGATATCTTATTTACAACACTTCAATATGAACTACTGCCAGCATGTGTGGCAGATTACTATGTGGTACGAAAAATGTCAGTATAAGTCTCACTAGTGTGGCCCCAATTTCAAGCTATATTAGTACCAATTTCAGATGGTTTCCTGCCCTGTAATTCCATTGTGTGTCATCAAAATTCAGTTCTAACCAGCTGGAGGTGGCCATTCTCAGGCTCAACGTTGTCTTCCTGGTGCTAACTGGTCAGGAAGAACTTTGTTGAATAGGACAGAAGAAAGGAAAAAGCATTTAGGGGCAATGTATGGCTTAGGGAAAAGACAAAATCTGACAATTGTATGTATCGAGATTCTTTGTATCATGCTAGCATATACCCCTTTCTATAAGATAATAGTTTGCCAGACAAAGGTAACAAAGACTAAACCCATGTTGCTTTAATCATTTGAAATATGTTATTACTGTATATGTATAAGGGGTTTGTTCAAGAAGTCCAGTGTGGGGAAGGTAAACTGGGATAAGATGGGATACAGCAGTGGGAAAACTAAAGATTCTAATGGAGATCCTGAATGAGCAGGTAAGACCCAGTTAAGTCTTAAAACCAGTTAAGATCCCTTCTTACTTACTATCTGAATTATGAGCTTGGAAATAAAGTAAGTGTGTGCATATGAAATTTGCAGATGGCCTGAACAGAGGCTTTATTAACACTGTTATTAATATTCTATTGTTTTTTCCATTTCTGCTGCATTATTAACCTTGTCTGTGTGTTACATCCTCACAAAATATCATCCCAAAGATCCCTTCAAATTTGTATACGTCAGTTAAAGGGAATCTTTTGAATTACCAAATAAATACTTGAGAATACAGCTCCTTATTTTATTTAATTTTGGAAAATTACTGTGTTGTAGGGTTGTGGGGTTTTTTCAGTTTTTCAATATTGTTTGGATGCCTGGGAAACATTAAGGTGCTCATAGGACTTTTACTTTGGAACTATTACTTCTTTTTGATCAGGAGGTCAACTGAAATATAACTTTCAATGGTCCTTCCTTTTTCAACATAATGCAACCTGTAAAACTCTTTCTTCCCAGTGCAGCATTCTATAACCTGTACATCCCAGCAAACACTCACTGTACAGAAACCATGTCAACCTAACAGAGTTTATGCTCTATTCCTAGCTTTACAGACACCATGAAACTCTGCATCATCAAGCCAAACAAGCCTATTAAGAGGGCACTTACATTACTTCTGCCTCATTTACTGTCATTTTCAGGATTTCATTATGTCACAAAAGCTAAAACAGCCTTATGTATTCAAACTGGTAAAATAGCAGCTGTAAAAATATATTGCTGCTTTCTGTAAGTACTACAGGATGATAAACGCTAAAGAGGAACTGACAGCAAGACAATACTGGCATAAGAACAGACAGCTATTAACTACCAGTGGAATTTTGAAGCTTTATCACCATGCAAGAATGAAAGTCTTGTAAAACTTTAAGTAACTGTGAGGTCAAAACTGTAAATTCATGAAATATTTTTGGTATTGTACATATCTGTCTCTGTAATAAAAAGGTGGGTATCCCAAGTTCAGAGTTCTCATTACTAGTCCCAGTCTACTCCAATAATGAGTTGTACCACCTTCTTGCAGCTACTATTCTCCATTGTCTCCACCCACGTAAGATCAGAACACACAGGTATAGTTGTACGTTTCCTCGTACTTTCCTTTAGAGTCTATAAAACCTGCTACTACTTTTCAGTTAACAGCTCAAACACCACCCGTGTTACACAGCCTGTGTTTCTTCTACTGAAAGTCTTCAGACTCGTATCCCAGATTAAGTAGCATGCCTGTTCACATACCTACAGATTAAAGCATTTAAAGCATTCTGAAATTTCCTTCTCTCAAGATTTTACTTTCATTAAAACTGCTGGCTGTAGAAGCCTGTTGTTTGTGTCAGCTTTGGTCACGTGGATTGAGTTGAACTATCCCACTGACACAGCTGGAAACTATTCAGAAAAACATCATGTTCATAGATACGGTGAAGGTAGTACCACTGTTTTCTTATTGTGGTACTACCTTAGCTATCTCACATTACACAGTTTCCCAGCCTGTACCAAACCAAAGAGCTTGTGTGGGTGTGCCCAATTTTGAACCAATGTTATTTGCCCATGCTTAACAGAATTTGATCTGCTTGCTAATCTCCTGAAGCCCCCAGTTATTACATGGGTTTCCAAACTTCACTGCAAAGTCACAGCTACTTACTCTACCCATAATCACTAATTTAGAAATAGTTCTGAATCTAAGTACTAACTCAGTGACAAGACTTCCACTAATTTAAGTTGGGCCAGAGTTTTAAAGGTTAAATGATGCCTCTTTTATTTAATTTCTGTATCCACACACACCAGAGAGCTCTCACTGAGCAGGAGGTTATCTCCAACAGCACTGAGAACTTAATTTCTCTGACACACACATTTGAATCTCCCTGCCTCCACTTCTGGAATTGCCTTCAGACCAATGTTCATAGATACTGCATGAAGACTAGACTCCCTTTTCCTTGAGCAGTGATTGAGAACCTTTGTAAAAATATTTCATTATTGCTTATTAGAGAGTTCCGTAAGAAGTACAAAGGATAACTATACACAAACATATATACATAGATTGACTGGCTACTTTATTCACATAATGAATACATAAGTGAAAGGAAGTCTGTTGCAGGTTCAGAAAACAGAGGACCAAAAAGCTTGTGCTCAACACATGCCGTAGACCTAGGGTCATATTTAATGCTCTGGAAATGAAATAAACTGCATCAATGCTAAAATATTATATACTAAAGATACCTTAAATAGCACTGGTATAGCCATCTGCTTGGTAAATTCCTAGGGCTCAAGATTTAAGTTTTGAAAGTAAGAATGGGCATAATGGACCACACCAAATCCTTTCTATGTCAACACTGTCTCTCCAGTGGGAGGTGACAGGAAAAAGAATTAAGAGAAAATCCCAGAGTGTTTGCTACACCTTCTCAGAGTCCAGCAATCTGCAATTCAGGGCTTTACTGAGGCAAAAGTGGTTTTGTACACTTCTAATAAACCCAAGATGGAATTCACTAATTTGCTGAATCTGCTTCCAGAAACCAGCCAGCACTCTGAACACACTTCCACAGCCTGATGAGGCACAATGTGGAAACATCTCTTCTAAAGCCACCCTGTCTTCTTTTGGTGCCACTTCATTTGGTGCCTGTTAATTCTCATTGAATTCATTGAGAACACACTGCTCTATGTCCACCTCCGTGTGTTCGCGATTTTAGAGACCTCTAGTACATCTGCCTTTCACCATTCCTTTTCCAAGGTGACGAGTCTTTGTCTAAATAAATACTTCTCATATGGAAATCATGCAGTATCCTTGTTTTGTATCTCTATGGTTTTTTTTTTCCATTTCTACTGTGTTATTTTTCAGATGAAGAGACAAGGATTTCACATCAAAGATTTCGGAACAGCACCAACTTATACGACCTTATAGCAATGTTAGTGCTTCTAAGCTGAGTTGCATAATAAAGCTGTGCAGCATCATTTTTCTTAAAAAAAACCCTTATTTTCTGATTGTAAATCTCCTTATACTCATCAATTCTATTATTTTATTATTTATTATATCATTTTTCCTAGGGAAGTACATTTGCTACACTCCAGCCTTCTAGCCCTAGAGCCACTTCATATAAGGGTGAACATACTACAGTTAATGGTAGAGTTGCCCTCAAGTAATTATGGATGCTTCTGCAAATACCGCTTGGCCATGCCCATTCCCTAATCCCAGCTTGCTTGGGTTTCTGTGTTATTTTTTTCACTTCAACACTGCAGTTTGAGCCAACAGAGTTCAGAAGATATTCGTGCTGACACACCTTCCTACAAACTAGAAGCCTCCTGAGAACCTCTCATGATGAACAGAGACAACTCACTGTTTAGCTTTCCAAGCATTTTCAGCTATGTTTGGACTGCCCTGAACTTCCCCCAGAGCTAGGCTTGGCTGGAGCTCTCTGGATGGAGCACACCTATTTGCAAAAACCAACCAGAATCATAGAATTGACCAGGTTGGAAAAGACCTTTAAGATCATCAAGTCCAACCATTAACCCAGGACTGCCAAATCCACCACTAAACCACATCATTGAGGGTCTCATCTACATAGTTTATGAAGACTTTATGAAGGATAGTGATTCCACCACTTCCCTAGGAAACCTCTTCCAATGCTTCATCACCCTCTCTGTGAAGAAATTTTTACTAATATCCAATGTAACCTTCCCTGGCACAGCTTGAGGCTGTTTCCTCTTGTCCTATCACTTATTACTTGGGAAACAAACCCCTACCTCGCTACAGCCTCCTTTCAGGCAGTTGTAGAGAGCAGTAAGGTCCCCCTTGAGCCTTTTCTTCTCCAGACTAAACAACTCCAGTTCCCTCAGATGCTCCTCATAAGACTTATTCTCCAGACCCTTCACCAGTTTTGTTGCCCTTCTCTGGACCTGCTCCAGCACCAAAATGTCCTTCTTGTACTGAGGGGCCCAGAACTGAACACAGGATTCGAAGACTCCAGGCCACCAGAACTACTTTGAGTCCCCGACTTCTACAACGGCACCAACGACGCTTGATCTACATCCCTCACACATCCAGCCCTGCCACAGACTCGCACACAGGCCAGCACCACACAAGCACCACTAAACTCAAACTCACTCTTTCTGCACCTACTCAACGCCCGAGAGCAGCACGCAGACGCCACTGAGCCCTGCTGCAGCGCGCAGGCGCGCCGATGGAGCCTAACGCAGCGCGCAGGCCCGGCTCGGTGCGTGGAGGCGGTTTTAAACTGTGGCGGGTTCCGGAATCTTGGTTGTGTGTTGCGCCGCGCAGCGAATGGAGCCTGTCCTGAAAGGTACCGGCTCGTACGCTGGGGGGGGGGGGCTGGGGGGAGCCGCCGGCCTGGAGCGGGCAGGTCCCCTGCTGATCCCTGAGTTCCTTCGCCCGGTCCTTCTCGGCTGGTCTGTCGCTCGCCTCCTTTCCGCCCTCTTTACCCTGGGGGCGTCCGGCCCTCAGGGCGGGTCGGTTTCCAGCTTGACTCCGTGGCGTTGCTTTCCCATGGGGAAAGGGTTTCTCTGTGGAGCTGCGCTGACTAACCACCAACGCGCCTGAAGATGAGCGGCTGGGCCTCGGCGTGCCCCAGATGGCGGCGGGCTGTGCCAGCCGCAGGCCAGGCCGGGCTGTGCAGGCGATGGGGCGGGAAGGGCTGGGAGCCTCCTGCAGGCAAGAAGCGTAGGGGTGACCGCCCCTTCGGGTGGCTTCCGACCGGTGTCGCCCCTCCTTCTGCTGCCACGTATCGGAGCCTGCCTTGTTCTTTCTGGCCAGGTCAGCCATGGCTGGATCCTGTCTAGTTTCTTCTCCATGTTTTTAAGTTTCTGCCTCGCTAGGTTGCCCTCTGATGTCTGTTTTCCCCAACTATCACTATCTTCTCTGAGATCTTCCGGCATAAGTTGGCCTTTACAAGAACAAAACTGTACTCGGAGCTCTTCTAGTTCGACAAAACTACAAACCGTTTCTCATTTTCCTTTTTATCAGATGAATAAAAACTGCGAAGTTCCTTGTCTTTTGTTAGAGTATATTTGATTAGCTAAAATTGGCTAACTGCTGTAATATGCAGCTTTGATCCTGCTGCAGGTGCATGCAGCCTTGAAGTAATGTTCCTCTTAAGTTCCTAGTTTCGACCTTCACTGAAATGCTCTAAAATATTTTCTAGGGGAATTATAAATGTGAACGTTCTAAAATATTTGATGTAAGAGCAAGGTATTAGTTTTTTAAATGCAAGTCTTTTTTTTTTTCTTTCAATAGAACAATCAAGACAAAAAGCAAATATGGCAAAAGCTGTCTTGTTCCAGTATTAGAATGAGCACAATTAAAAGCACATTGGAGTCAACTTGTGTTAAGTTCCCATATGTATCTGAAGTCATAGTGCTTACAAGATTTTTCCATGTAGTTTGGCTAAGGAGATGGTTTGTGTTCCATATTTCTTGTGTGTTAAAAGTATTTATAGAAATTACAAAAATATGTTAATCTTTATAAAAGTGCTTCTACTGTTGGAGTGTTATTCAGATTTTCATTTAGAAAGAAAACAGAAGAAAACTACTTAGTTAATCAGAAGGACATACATAGTAACCAACATAATTAAGCAGTGCTTGCCAAGGCTGACCTTTTTAAATTGACACAGTTTTATTCATGAGTTCCGAGAGTTGTCTGGCCTGCAGTTTGTGTAAAGTGTTTTTGCGAACCAGCCTTCTTCCAGTTTTCTGGAACTTTACTGACTTGCCACTCAAAATGGGAAATTAGCATGGCTAATGGAGCTGTAGGTTACTGTAGTGTACCTCCTGAGTAAAATCAGTGTTACGAGTTTCATTTGCTTATCCTTCCATGTCCTTACTTCTAGGATTGTTTGTTTAAAGATCCCAACTGAAGCTGATTTCATTCCTTGAAGAGATTATTAATCTGGTTGATAAAGGAAGCTACTTAAATGTGATATACCTAAAGTTACATAATGCAGCTGGCAATGAAATTGTATTGGCTCGTGTTATATGGACATAATTTGTGATGATTCAGTATAAATAAGGTGGAATTTGAAGTAATTTGTAAAATGGCAAGTAATATTTTTGCAGAGTTTTCTGCAGGTTTTGGGAGGGAATAATTCCATTGTATTTGTTTTGTTGTATTCTGTAACTTGTGTTATATCAACTTGTCTTAAAAATTTTATTAACCTGAAGATAAGCAGTGATTAATAAGAGTAAGCAGTCATGTAGAGGCACTGCATTTCTTGTTTAAGCTGGTAGTGTTTTAAATAGAGTAAATTAAAAGTTAAGTAGTGTCAAACTTCTAAGTTTATTCCATTACAATTGTTATAAGGGACAGAAGTTCTCTAAAAAGAGCATTCTGCTGCTACCATCTGACACTCAGTTTATTAAAAGCTACATTTGCTACTGAATGCAGCATGTAGGAAAGCAAAATTCTGTTGCAAAGGCAGTTTAACCAATTTTATTATAGGGTATACTTCGTTAGCTGTTTATTTTCTTTTTTCTGATACAGGTATTTCTGCATTTGTAGAAGTTTGGTCATCTAACAGAACAGAAAATTACTCAGAAACCTTTGAACAGCAACTTCTTGATATGGGAGCAAAAGTAAGGAAACTATTTTGTAATAAACAGAATAGGAAGGCTCTTAATTAGAAATTAGCTGGCTTGTTTTGTTGTTGGGTATGTTTCTGTGTGGTATGAGTATTTTCAGGTCTGCTATTATCCTTGCACTTTAAAAAAAGGAAAGCACTGTAAAATTCTTACTAGTGACAGATGAGAAATGTATTTAGAGCCTGCGTATATCTATAAACCTCTTTGTATAGTAATATGACGGCATGCATTTGCTGTGAAGTATTGGGCTTGCCACATACTGTGGGCAAATCAAAGCTAAGCATATAAAACCTGTGGTTTTCAAGTATGTACCTTATGTTGTTTTGTGTTCTTTAACTTGTAGGCAGGTGCTCTATTGTTACTAAAATGTTTTCTAATTTGAGTACCATTACATTTTCTTCTTTCAGTTACTCTCCCACAAACGTGGTTCAACTCCAGAAAGTGCTAGTAAGAATACATCTAAGAGTCTTAGTGTATGTCTTTTTTTTCCCATATTAAGTATTGTTGAATTGTAGGTGCAAAATGTGTTTAATTGCCAGCTGTAGAATTACAACCAGAGACCAAAATCAATCTGGTATTTTCCCTTCTTGCACATTATCGCCAGTTAATGGAGATCTTTGCAGCCCACATCATGCTCTAAATAACACTTGCGTGAATTTCCAGTGCTTTTCAATTGGATGTGTGTAGGTGTATCTTACTGTAATTTGTGAAATTGTGCTGATCTCCCTGAAGCCTCTCTTTCTGTGTGAATTTAGCTGAGACAGTGACAGAACAGAAGAATAACTGTTTTTATTATAGAAGCCAATACAAACATCAATGAATAATTCAAGAAATATTTCTTGTTATTTTGTGCTGTGCTGTTAGACCTATGTTGTTCTCTTCTGATATTAGATTTTTCTCACAGAAAATGACAAAAGCATAAGGCTTCAAAATTCTTTGAGTTGATCAAAAAGTAGCCAGATACAGTGGAAGGTGCTGGCAGATGATACAGATGAGCCTATTTAGCAGATCCCCATGACTGAAAAGGGGGTAGTCTTGCCCCTTGTTATTCGAGACACTTGCTTCCCTTTTATTGGGCTGAGCATGTGATAGTGAACTGACTTGGCTCACTGTGTCAGGAAATAGAATTCTGAATCAGTTTTTCCACTACTTTCTGTACTAGTTGTTTCACAAGAAATGGTGTTGGGCTACATGAATAAAAATGTTGCAAGATAGTGATACAGCTAGAGCAAGCAGGGAGATGAAAATGGTAACCTAGGAAAAAGAAGTTTGAGAGCAAAAGGAGGCTACTGTAGCTCTCTAGGATTCATTGCATTGGCTTGGCTAATGAGATTTGAGTTTTGATTCCTTGAGCCTTCTTGCAGAGATAAGAAAGATCAAGAGTTCTTGACATAATGGTTAGGGTAAGTTTATATGCTAATGGTTTATACATTAAAAATGGACTATGCTAGAATATTTCACTAGCATTTTCTGATTATTGGACTTAAAAATGAGCTTTCTTTGTACTTCTGCAGGTTTCAAAAACTTTGAACAAGCACGTGACCCATGTAGTCTTCAAAGATGGACATTTGGCTACGTGGAGAAAAGCACAGAAGATGGGCATAAAAATAGTTTCTGTACTCTGGGTGGAGAAGTGAGTGCGTGTGAATATATGTGACATATTCCAGCAATAATGGAGTCTAGTATTTATTTAAAAACTGAAGTACAGAACTTGTTTTATTTTGTTTTGTTTTTAATTTATTTGAAATAGTGATAAATCTATGAGTAAATAAGTTTCCTGTGGCATTTTTGCTATTATACAGTGTATTACTTGTATAAAAAGATAAAATGTTAATTCTTAAAAAATGAATGCATTGAGGTAGTTCCATAGTAGAACCATTCAGTGTTCCACTCCTTTGTTCTCAGCTGGCATGCATAGGCAGTGAAGACTAGATGCTTATGTTGAATAGAATTCTTTCTTTTTCTTGTTTGGAAAAGCACAGTTCATCGGGGACATTGTACTGTTTCTGTACTTAGCTTCTGTAGACAGAGTATCTTCCAGCAAGAAATAAAAAGATCCACATGTAGTCTGGCTTTTAAGGCATTTGGAAGATTCAGAACAGCACTGCTTGAAGATTCTCAACTACCATACAGGAAAAAGTTAAATTAAAAAAAAAAAAATATTTAGCTGTGCAGCCACTCCATGAGAACTTGCTGATCCATAGCTGCTTCTCTGAGTTTACAAAATGGTTGTGAGGCCAAACTTAGATTTCAGATGAAGTATAAAAACATGTTTAAGAACACAAATGTGTTAAGGACTCCAATTGGTAAATTGCTGTGATGATAGAAATTAGAATGTAAGCAAAGAGGCTCTCTCATATACCAGTTGTAGTATGCATGGATAGATAGAAGTCTGCTAAGTGCAAAAGTAAAAATAAAAAACAGGGATGCAAAGCTGAGCTCTGCAGCTACTTAAATGTAGTGCAACCATAAAATTTCATCAGAAATGATTTTTCTGATACACATCAGAAAAAGAAGTTCATGCAGTTCTGCAGAAGCATCCAGTTTTAACACCGAGGAAGAAATACTAAGTTCCCAAATATGAGGGTGGTGCAAAATTCTGTCTGTGTGAATATACCGTTCTTGGACCTGGTGCCACTGAGTGTGGGGAAAATGGTCATTTCAGTAGGAATCTTTGATTGTAAAATTAAATATGCTGTTCACATGCCTAAATGTATAAATACGGAATTTTAAACCTTAGTCTTAAGAATTATAAACTGTTTGAGGACTTGGATGTGCTAAAAGATCCCCAGAAAAGTCCAGGTGAGTAGCATCTGCAATGAAAGAAGAATGAGAGCGCCTTCCAGGGGAAAGTCTAGGATGTGACATACAGGAATGCTTTCTTTGTTACTGCAGTTTCACTGTAAGAGGAACCTGTGCAATACTGGCAGGTATTGAGTGGATGAGCACTGTCGAAAGCTCAGACGGACAGATAGATATGTGATACCCTAGGGGACAGTATGGAGCCTTGAGATGTAAAAGCCTCAAGGAATTTTATTGCTGTATATAAGCAACAAAGGAAAAGACTTAAGCTCTTTTGTAGGAAAGAGAAGGCTAGCATCTTTCTGGGTTTTTTTCTGAAGTTGACACAGGACAAAGTGATGTCTTAGTATATGGCTTAGAAGATGGGTTTGTTGGAACAGGGGGATTCATCTGGAATAGAGGAGTATTATTATGGAGGAAGACCCTAGTTGTGGATTTATTGAACATCTCTGTAATCTTTGTTCCTACCTTTTACTTTAAATTTAGTGCAAAAAGGTACACAAGAATATAAAACTTAGACTGATGTATACTCGTGGCAGAATTCATAGGAGTATCATATTAAGTAAAGTATGGGTCAGGAGTGGTAAAAGCTTACATAAGAGAAAGTAATGCATAGTCTCACTAGTCATGGAGTTACACAAAGGTATAGACAATACAAAATTAAAATGAGTCTGTTAGCATACATGCAATTTATATTTTTTTTTTGTAGTAAGATGAGAGAACTGGAGTGTGTGACTTGAAATTATATATGCCTACCATATCATCTCAGAGGTTTGGCAGGCACAAGACAGTGTGAACCCTGCGACAACGTAAGCAGGGAGGAGTGAACATAGTATGTGCCAGTAAAAAGTGGTTGTGTATGAATGGAAGCTTAGTTTGAGCTTGCTAACTGTGTAAGCAAATAATGCAGAATTTGCATGAGTTGAAGTTTTAGCATTACTAAAAAAAGAAGGCTTGATTTAACCAGCTGCTGTATTCAATAGCAAGCATAATGTTCTCAGAATGGTCAGAAATGCTGTGAAATTTAATTTTAGGCAATGTAATAGTAAGGGGTGACTTTTTAGTGTAGACTGCGGATTGGATAACTCCTGTTGGAGCACAGTGCAAAGCAAAATATTTTAGTTATTGCTTGATCTTAATTGGTGTGTGATGGTTGTTCAAATTATTTCAGAGAACCTTCTTGTAAGTATAGACACAGCTATGGTATCAGTGTTCGTACTGTAACACCAAAACTAAGATGGTGAAGGGAATAAAATTCTTACTGATATCAAGGAGACTATTTAAATCTTAAATCCTCTTAAGTATATCAAAAAGATGATCGTATTTTATGAGGGGATATTTAAGATTTTGAGACTCACAGGAAGTGCTTTCATATGATTGTCACCTCAGCAGTAGTCAAAAATCAAATGGAATATAAAACCTCATGTAGTGGAATGACATAGTTTTTATCATGGTTATACACTTGGAATGTTTTTTCGTAAGACACAATGGAAGACAAGAATGCTTCAGCCTGGAATAAAATGTGAGAGTGAGAGAGACTCTTGTGAACACCAAGGTTCATATGAGTAGGCTGAGTGGGAAATTAGTATGTATTTTCCAGTAGAAGAATTGGAAATCATCACATGAATATGTCTGGAGGCACATTCAGAGAATCACAGAATACCAGGTTGGAAGGGACCTCAAAAATCATGGTCCAACCTTTCCTGGCAAAAGCACAGCCTGTACAAGGTGGCCAACACCCTGTCCAGGTGAATCTTAAAACTGTCCAATGCTGGGGAATCCACCACTTCCCTGGGGAGATTATTCCAATGGCTGTTGTGACAAATTTTCTTCCAGGATCTAAATGAAATCTCCCCAGGAGTAACTTATACCTGTACAGAAAACAGTAAATTATCATTTTTAATAAAACATAGTTTAGGCTGGAAAACTCCTTGTTGCAGAGTCATATTCAGCAAGGATTTATACTGGTTAAAAAAAAATGCTGAAGCAATTAAACATTTGGTTTTATCAAAAAACATATACGGTATTGAATCTGACGATCTCTAAACCAACTGGGAATACTTGGCTGTGTTTTCATGGTTTTACATATTTCTTGGAATCTTGGTATTGGAAACAGGATGCTGCAGTATATGGTATTTAATCTGGATGCTAGTTTTTTATGTTTGAGCTCTAAAACACACCAGACAAGGAAGCAAATAATAAGCAATTACTCCAGCATTTCCTGGTGGTTCTGGTTCGTGCAAAATACTCCCAATTAACAGGTACTTCCAAACTGTTATGCATGCCCACTAGTGTTATCTTCCCCTGAGCAGTGCTTGAGCTTCTCAGAGGAACATGCCCATGATCTGAAAATATAGTACTTGCTTTTCTCCATAAAAGCCAAAACGCATTATAATGGTTTGTACAGTATTTGGTGAACATTGCCTTGTTGAATTGTCACTGGAAGCTTCTGCTTCACAGTACAAGCATATATTTGAATCTAAACTGAATGCAGTTCTACAGTTTAATAGGAAGTAATTTGATTAGGAAGAAGACTCTTAAGATGACAATTGATTTTCCTCAAAATATAACAACTCTAGAGTAAATACATTCTTAACTTTTTTAAAATGTGTTGTTTCCCTTTTGTGTTTTCTAAGAATTATAGATATGTCTGACTTTAAAGATAGTGCACATAATCGTGGACTTGCTTTAAGAGTCATGCAAATTATCAGTTTAATTCAAAATGAGTGGATCACTTTTGGATCACTGAAAAAATAATAGTACTTTAGTTCAAATACTTCAATGAGCAATCTAAAAAAAAATCAAAACCCAACAAAAAGAACCCTGCATAAAATAGAATTACTGTAATCTATGTACAAATTAAGAATACTTAATCTAACCCGTAACTGGGAAACGTTACCGATATATTCTTAGTACAGTAACTCATGTCACAAACATGATAGATAAATCATTTACATTCAGATTTGTCTGCAAAGTGAAAAATGCTTGTAACATATTTAGTGGTCAAATTTATTATGTTTAGCTTCTCTGAATCAACAAAATCTCTGAATTAATGTAAATTGTAATGCAGTTTACATCTATGCTGATTATTATCCAGAATTTAATAACAGCTACTGAAGCTCAGCATGTTGAGTATCATCTCTATTTGATGCTCCAGAGAATTCTAAACTCTGAGTTGGTTAGTTTGACAAAAATATGTAATGGTTTGGCTTCTTATTCAAAACTGAGTAACTAAGCATTGGATTATAATTCTGCAGTCACAAACTTTATAGCAGTTAGATCACTAGGTGTCACTAGAATCATAGTTTTGAATGACTTCTGGGGAAACCAGTGTAGTCCGTTGAAGTTCTATGCTCTTTCTCATAATTATTTAGTGTTTGATAATAAAACTGTATTGATCTATTTTGATAAAAAAAACTTTTATGTATTAACCAAATTCTTGTCTCAACATTGTTCTTAATGTTCTCATTAGGTAAGATTGATCCCACTATTCTCAAGTTAGTCTTTGAAATGAAAAGACAGGAAAAACGGGCTAAGGTGTCAGTTGGAGTTTTTGGTTTTGTAATTAAAAAAGTTTACATAAATAGAGATGATCCTTCAATAAGGGGCTGATTTTAGCATTGCATATACACAGAGGAGGCAGAAAACTGAGACTTATGGCTAAGATATAAAAGCATGATCAGATGATGACTCCTTCATTTGCCTGAATAGGGTCCTCCACCCTATGACATTCTGTAGATTATAGTTGGGAGTTTACTGTCATCACAGTGACCAACTTAAGGCAAGTTAAGGTTATGGTTGTTGGGTAGTGAGCAGTCAAAGCCTACAGTCCTCACAAGTTGGGTAGATTTGAGATTCATGAGAATATGGCCAAAAGGACTCAATATAATGATTTTTGAATGTGTGTAAAATAAAATATGAGTGTGAATCTTTGAGTTTCAGAACAACAATTTAGAGAGCATCATTAGGACAAAAAATATGTCCTATATTTGGTGTGTCATATGTACAGATTTATTTTTTTTCCCCATTAAAGTATTTGTGCTGAAGATACACACTGAGGAAGGGCTGGTGGTTTTATTACAGAGCTCAGATGACTGTTTTTGCAATAAGGTTTCTCATTCTTAAAAATACAAACACAACTGCTCTAATTTATTATACAGGTGTCGAGAAACTAGAGTACATGTTGATGAAGCCTTATTTCCTGTGGTAGCTGCTAATGAATTGCCACAACCAGTCAAGAAAGTGAGTATGTGGGTATGGGTGTTTTTTTGTTTTTTTTTCATAGGCCTAGAGTAGTAAACTTGAAAGTCTGAATTTGACCTCCTGACCTCAGGCATTTGAATTGTTCGTTATCAGGACATTCTGTAAGCTCTATGTATCTGTCTGAGTAGGTTTTTAAAGGTAGGCTATGGCTGTGACGATGTGATATCTTATCTGAAGAAAGTATAATAAAAGTTTTTATATTGATGAATAAAGAAGGTTTAAATTAAAATGACATAATGACTAATTAAAAAAACATGACTGATGTGGTTTATGTTTCACTGAGTTGCATGCACAAATGCTAAAATACTGATATTTAGGAAAAAAAATAAATCTTTGAAGCCTTAGCTTTGCTGCAAGCAAAAAGGAAAAGATGGTTATTAAGTCTGCTTTTTAATAAAATCTAACAGGAAAGAAAATCTGTTAGGTTCTTTCTTCTTTTGTATTAACATTTTCCAAAGCGAACTTTAACTTCTGCTATTACCCATGACTCTCAAGGAAGTGCGAGGAAGCATAGTTAGACACTGATGATAAATACTGTGACAAAGTGGTAAGCAAATAAGAAGTGTAGTTACTTCTGGCAGTTTTAAACCATATAATTGACAGGTTTGTTTGTCTTGTAGCACAAATGTATGCAGCCAAAAGACTTTATTGAAAAAACTCCAGAAAATAATAGAAAGCTGCAGAAAAGATTGGACCAGATGGCTAAAGAATTAGCCATACAGAAGATAGCAGTTAATGCTGGTAAGAGCTACTTTAGACTAAGATTCAAACATCTTCAGTTATTTCCTTAAGGTACTTGATGGGTTTTGTTTTGTGTGTTTGGTTTGGTTGGTTGGGTTTGGGTTTGTTTGGTTTTACTTCTATGCTTTTATAAGTATGTTTTTACTTACAAAGTTGACTTAGTTTTTACAGAGTTCTTTGCAATTTGCAGTATTAAGGCATCTGAAGTGATGTTAAGGGAACCAAAGGAACCTATGTTTTTCAAGTTTGGGGGGGGAAAAAATTGAGATTGTTATAGCACATAAATGTACAAATGCAATTTCTTTGTGTAGAAATTGATGTACCAGTTCTACTATTTGAAGACAATGGTTCACTTGTATACAGCCCTGTTAATAAGGTGAAAGATCAATACAGTGCAATGGAAAGAAGAATAAAGGAGATGAAGGAAAAAAGAGAAAATATTTCTCCTACTGGTAAAGAGTTAAATTTTACCTATCCATGCACAAATGGCTGCCATCTTTATTGCTGAATTTCTGGTGCTTTTGTCTTGCTCTGGCCTTCAAACTTTTTTTACTTACCTTGATTGCAATGTCCTCCCTGCTTCCCAGGTTTCAAGTAGTTGTGAATGCTTTAGCTTTTAGTTCCTTTCCATCGAAGGGCACAAGAAATCATGGAAGATAATGATTGCAAAAAGGAATTTCTTAGTGGTTAAACTGCTCAAGGGGGCTAAAGTTAAGCTAGACTTTCTAAACTTGTAAATTGATATTACCACAACTTGGTTAAACTTTACAGTGAAACTCTTAAGTCTTATTTCCTTTTAAATTTTAATGCGAGTGCTGTACTTGTCAAAGATTGTAATGTTACTAGTCCCAGGCCAACAGTTCATTAAGGAGTTTAAAATTCAGGAGACATCTGTCCAGGTACTGAAGATCAGGATTTAAAAAAACAAATGGAATGACCCAATCAGATAAATCTAATTTATTTCAAAATGCATATCCTGGTGAATTAAATCTAGATTGAAGTTTTCAAATAATTTTTTAGTGTTTCCATTACATTACTGTAAAAGCATTGAGATCTAAGCCATTAGGTTTTGCCAGTTAATATAAAAGGTATTGAAATGTGGAACATCTTTTGAGCGGCTGGGAATCAGTAGTATTTGAAGTTTTAAGAAGTCCATGTCACTAGACTGTCAGTTTATAATTTCAGAAATAGTTGCAGGAGGAAAGTAAAGAATCAGTGATACATGGATGAAAAATGAAATTAATTTATTTTGGCATGACTTTTGTTTGTTTTCTCTTCTAGTTTTAAGATAATGCCTTCAAGCATTTTTAAATGCATTTCTGCTATGTCAGTGCTTTGCTGAATTTGACAGATTGTGTAGTAAAATGCCTCAATTAGCTTAGAAAGGTTTTATATTTTCTAAAAGGTTTGCTGTCATTCTTTAGTATCATAGAAGTGTGGCTATCTAGGAAAAGAAATTGCTTAAACTGTAGAAGATGTAGTAGCGCTCTTTTTTATGTAAATTTGGGATACTCTTGAGCAGTCTAATTGCTTATATGGTTATAGTTGGCAAAACAATGAGTTATGTCTTACAATTGAGCTGATTTGAAATATGAATTGATGGTGCCGAAATCTGTATCTTTGCAAGTAGGTCTAACTCATTTATTGTTTACAAATTCCTAGCTTCACAAATGCCTCAGATACTTCCAAGTAGCTCACCAGGAGACTGTCTGCTGCCTACTTGTGTCTTAACTAATTCAGAAGATGCATTGTTACCAGGTAACTAAAACAACTTTATATATTACAGAAATTAAAAATAATACATGGCCTGTTTATTTTGTAAAGGATGGTATACTGAAATGGGAACTGTATGTTTGCTCTATCATTTATATTTAAAGCTGAATTATTTTAGTTTTTCTTAACTGGCAAAGTGTGTAGAAATAAGAGTTCAAGGAAAATGGAGCATGAAGAATCACATTGGGTAATGCTCTGCCTATGGCTGTGATGCTTGTGTCACTTCCTCCTCTTTCTTCACACCCTTTCCTGTTAATGGCTTCTTTACCTGGCATGATGTCAGCCTTCTCTGCTCTTATAGTGGTCTTGTATAGAATAAAGAGTGGGCACTAAACAGTGATAATGGGAAGCAAAAGAGAGAACAGAATGAGGGAGAAACCTCAAAGAACTGACTTGTCTTCCAAATATTCAATAGAAAAACTTGAATTTAAAAGAAAACCTAACACGTTTTCCAGCTTAGTACATCAGAGATTAAAGAAGTTAACAAAAGCAAAATAAACCAGCCTTTAAAATGTTTTATGGTTACAAGTGAATTCAAGTAATTTGTTATCAAAATTCGTATTCTCATGAAGTTAGGGATTTGTTCCTCTGTTTTGGCATAGTACCAGAGTATACGAGCAAAGATTATTGTGAAGGCTGTTGAGCTACTTCAGTGGGCATCTTAACAACATTAATCTTGTATACAGCTGATATATACATCAGACCTCATGTCTTCTGTTGATTACATGAGCAAAAAGCTGAAGTCAGGTGCTCATGTTTGGTGTCAGTAGAAGAGTAAGGAGAGCATGGGGCATTATCTTATAGCCTGAGGCAGCTTGTTATGAGTTCAGGCAATGTTAGGGAGAAGTAAGAGGTTAATACTGGAAGTAGCATAGTTGTGCCAACAAACTTTATTTTGCTAAATTAGTTGTATGCTGATGACGTTGAGCAGTGTGATTTCTGAGAGCTTTACCATGAATATGTCCCTCTAGCATTGCAACTGCACAATGTAATTTTACATAAGAATAGACCTCCACATCCCATGACAATATTCCGTGTAGGTTCAAACTCTGGTACTGTGTGATAGTGGCCCTTTTGTTTGTGCTTGCAAAATAATTGAGAGTATGTTGGTTAATAGTGTTAAAAAAGTTCAAGAATCCAGTTTGAGGATCAAAGCTAACACTTTTTCAATTGTCAACGTGGGAGTCTGATCATGTAATGAGAAACTTCTTTCATCTCTATATCTTTTATTTCTCTTAATTTAGCTAGCTACACCCTATGTTTGAAAATATTATTTATATTTAGTAAGCTAATAATGTCAAGACTTTCCGTAAAACCTACAGGAGCACTTCCAGAAGTATTGCTGAAACTTTGCACTCAATGTGTATTTAAACAAAACAAATTATCAGCAGGACTTTTGAAAATGTATTCTGGATAATTAGAGATACTAGCCTGTTTCAGAGGAATTTACTGATAAGAATTATATATATATATATATATTTATAGATAAGAGTTTAATTGCTGAGGTGAGTAGCTGGAGAGAGGACACCTTCAACACCTAAGCTGGGGGAAGCCCAGCATCCAGGAGCCTCCGTTCAGAGTGGCAAGAGCCACCACGGGAGCCTCAAGTCCTTGACAGGACCTGCCCAGGAGCCGGCAGCTCAGCTGACGCGAGCAGCTGACTCACAGGGGGTGGTGCCCAGGAGGGATGGCACCAGCCCTGAGTGGTTAAAATCCCCAGGAGTGCAAGGGACCAGGAACAAGGCAGGTCAGTTTGTGTGGCAGCGCAGGCAGGTGAGCAGGATGGTGAGCACTCACCGTATGAGCAGGGCCTGGTCTGGGATCTCTGCTCTGGCTGCCCCGTCAATGGCCAGCGTAGGCACCCATACGGAACCGATGAGAGGGGAGGCTGTAGAGCAGAGCTCAGAGTGTAGAGAGTGCCTGCACTGGTCTCCTGAAGTGAGGGTGCACAACGGGCAAGGCTGCACTCTGTGCTTTGTCGTGGAGGTCCTCCTGCAACAGGGGCTGAGCTGCGGGACGCTGTCAATAGGCTGCAGGATGTCAGGGAAGCTGAGAGGAAGCAGGAATGCTTTCTCCAGGACCAAACTGTGCAGGGGCCTCAGGGTCCATTGTAGCCCATGGAGGAAAGAAGGAGGCCGTTAACCCAGGAAGATGGGAACTAGTAACAAAAAAAAAAACAACAAAAAAAGGAAGAAATCAGCATGGAGACCACATAGCAGCCTTCCAGTATCAGAAGGGGGCCTATAGGATGCTGGGGAGGGACGCTTCCTTAGGGGCTGTAGTGATAAGACAAGGGGTAATGGGTTAAAACTTAAACAGGGGAAGTTTAAATTGGACATGAGGAGGAAGTTCTTTACTGTGACGGTGGTGAGGCACTGGAATGGGTTGCCCAGGGAAGTTGTGAATGCTCCATCCCTGGCAGAATTCAAGGCCAGGTTGGACAAAGCCTTGAATGACATGGTTTAGTGTGCGGTGTCCCTGCCCATGGCAGGGGGGTTGGAACTAGATGATCTTATGGTCCTTTCCAACCCTAACTATTCTATGATTCTCTTAATAGATTCTGTGTTTCACCTCCCCCAAAAATCTTCATAAGAATGGCTATAAGAAATGAAAATTTTTTCCACATTGTAATTATTCTTAATACATTGTGTTGATGTACATGGTATGAGAGTATGATGTTGTATTTGACTTCATCCTGCAAAAATAATTAGTGGTAAGTACTGCTGTCGTAGTAAAAAAGATTTTTCACTTTCCAGTATTAATCTAGCTAGGTTTTTATTTAAGGTCTTGCTGGGTTTTTTTTTCCACAAATACAAGAGTTCCTCTGCTGCTTTGTTTCAAGGCAGTAGAACAGAGCTTGTTTACCTATTGCTGTGTAAGAAGGTATAATAGCTAAAGCTATTGTAGCTTCTTGCCAACATAGAATGTAATTTAGTTCTAATCCATTTTGATGCCTTACAATATCATATCCAGAGAACTGGCTAAGTCCTTGTTTTTCTTCTTTCAGTAATTTCATGTGTATTTTACTAAGAAATTGGTACACTTTCTGTTTTGTTAAATGAATTTATATTGCCACTTTTCGTATTTTTCAGGAGAACAAATGGAAGACTGCTTGAACTCAAGTTTTGATTGTCTTTGGGGAGCTGATAAATTAAAGAGACAGAAAACAGAGGTAGTAAAACCTGCCTGTGATAGTTGGACTGATAATCCTATAGCCATGAGTGTGTCAGTGAATTCTCCCTCACAAAGCTATGAGCAGACTTGCTTAACACTAAAACAATGTAGCAGAAGCAGCTTAAGAAGAAAGCAGCTTTTTCAGCATACTTTGGATGATAAACTGCATTTAGAAAAGAAGGATATAGAAAAGTTCTTGAATCAAAATCAGGATGAAAATAGCAAGACTACTTCAGTTGCAAATGAAAGTTCTCTTCTGAAAATCAAGGGCTTGGGTCATCTTTCTCCTTCCAAAAATATGGCCAGGTTAAGTAATGTTGCTGCAGTGATTGACAGTCTCTCTAATGCACCTATGAGCAGCAGAAACTTAAGTAAGTGTTCACTGGATAGAAGCTTCCCTGTTTACAGAAACAATTGTATCCTTAAAGATAAGAAGAGGAAAAAATTAGAAATACTGCCTAATTTGAAACTGGCTACCTCAGAACTGGGTGCATCAGGGTCTAAAGACTTCTGGCAAGCATGTGGTACAGGTAGCGAGTCTGTTGGCTCTGAAGAGGCTTCTTATGAAGAGGATTCTTATGAAGACTTCTTTTCATCATTTAACTTGAATAAAAATGAAGTACAGATACAAGTACCAAAGGAGTCACAGAATCCTCCTGAAGTTTGTTGCAAAGACTATCTTGCAAGCACAGACTCGCTTGGTTTGAGTTTCTGTAACCCACGTAGTACTTCCAAGGAAGGTGGGAAAAGGTCTATTTCAGCAAATGATCTTTCAGTAAAAAACTTAAAACTAGCTGAACATCCTGGAAGTGTGTCATTAAATTATATGTCACATGGTGAAAAAGATGACACTGCAGAAACTCTAGATTCTGGTGATGTGAATAGGCTGCCTCAGCATTCTCATGAAACGTCCTACAGAACCAATGTGAATTACAGTACTTACACTAATGGTAAGTCACTACATAGAGCTAGAAAATGAAAAAATATGTTATGGCATACATGCATAGATACACTTATGCAACTGAATTGCAAAACTGAACTGCCATTCCCAAGGGAAGAGTATTTCAGAATTACACCAAAAGAAGAAAATGCTGCAGTACTTGACTTTATTTTTTCAGTAAAACAAACAAATGCATAGAATCCAAAAGAACACCCATTTGTTATTACGTGCACTACAAACACAGAGAAATCACCAACAGAAAGGAAAGTGTGCTCACAAAATACAGCAGAAGTAATATGAGCTGTCTTCTCCCCTAATGCTTGCTATTCTGTAAGCTTTCTGCTGCTATTCAAAATCTAAGAAATCAAAGCCTTTCTGTTTTAAATGTTATGGTGTTCTTGTAAATTTTTATTAATAACATCATCTGGTCCCTTGTTCAAATAAATCTTATTTCGCATGTTAAAGTTGCTACTTAATTGCAGTTAAGGGCATAAAATGTCTAGTGAAAAATAGTGGAGTTACAATTTCTGTCTTGTGCTATGATGAAGGTAGAATAAGATATTTGAGAGCATGAACAAGAGTTGTAATTTAAGCGCCTTTTTCAGTCATGGCTTATTTATATGATACTGATCTCAGTTTATACAATAATTTTGATAGTTTTTTTATATTTCAGCCTTTTCAAGTTGGTTTAGGCTAAGTTAATTGAATTTAAATGTATAATAGAATATTTAATCTCAGGAACTTCACTGGAAAATTCTTTTAACTTGCATTGGAGTAATCATTTTTATATCCTGATATTTTGAGTTCTGTTAAGCTTTAAATAGGGCTAAATATTTGTAATTATAATTGCATTTTTTAGGTAGTTGTTTTCAACCGAAAGTTCTGCAGCAATGCATCAATTAATTATATAAAATTAATAATTACACTAAACAAACTTGGTATCAGAGAATCCTCAAGTGGAAATGTTGAGCAGTGACCTTGCTTGCATCTGTGGGTAATAAGTGATCTGCAATTTTGGATTCACTACACCTGTACTTTAATGCCTGGAGTGCATTGTTATAACACAGGCTTTTTCTTAAAGAAGAAAAGTTCATACAGGTGTATGTTATACAAGCATAAATGTACACCCATAAATATATGACCCTGTTGTATGTGGGGTTTTTTCATCATGTGGCAATGTACTAGAGGATGATGCTTAAATTATGTATTTCTTAATGTCAGACTCAGTCTGGTTTTGATTAAACAATCATGAAAACAAATGGGAAAGAAGATATTCTCTCCTTTTAAACTTGGGTGTGCCATTTAGTTTTAGTGTTTAACTTTTAAATTCTAGTGATTAAATTATGATCAATGTTCTAGCATATTATGCTTTTATTTTCTTGCTGGAAAACTGAATATAACAGATTTTGGAGGAGAAGAAAAAGGATCCGTATTCAGCAAAAAATTTACCCAATATTTATACTTTATGTCCTTTTTTGGTAGGAACTTCTGTGTGTGTCAGTTTGTGTTTCTAATGATTTTAATAGTAGTTGTAATTTCTCTGTGATGGCCATTTTCCCAAGTATAATGTTTTTAATTTTGTGCATCTGTTGTGTAGTCAAGTAACACCTCAAATAAGGTTCAACTCAAATTTGACAGCTCAAATGAGCTTACTTAAAATGGAATAATAGATAGTGAAAGATGAGTTGTATTTTCCCTAATAATGTAAGTTCTGTGGAAGAATGTTAAAATGTTGTTTTAAACTTACTACTGTGACACTGTATAATGAAATAATTGATTTTTACTAAATACTGTGATTTGAAAACTGGTAAATACAGTATATTTTTGAAAGCTGAATAATTCTTTTCACTCATACATAGTTAGGATAATGAAATATCTGTATAAAATTATGTCTGTATATGTTTTAAAGATCAAACATTTTTCTTGCTTTTTTTGTTATTTTTAGTTCAGTGTCTTTAATGACAAGAAGTAAGATTTGATAAGCTTTATTTCTACAGAATACTTAGAACGCTTGATTTTATAGAAGTGTAACATACAGGCTTCATGTTCCCTTGTAGGGTGTGCTCAGGGCTGCTCAGTTGTTCTGCTAACAGCACAGGCAAAAACATGGCTACTTACTTTATCTTTCTTCAAGTCATAAATCAAGTAGAGAACTGTCACAGATGCAAGAGCTGAAATTAATTAGGCTTCATCAGAATATTAAAGATACTTTCCTATTCAAATTCACTTTTTCTTTCTCAGTTTTGTTTCTGAAGATGAAATAAATTTTCTGTCCTTCTGATTAAACCAGTCCTACCTGATAAATTTCAGAGCTCTGTAATCGGTAAGTGGTGTGTAGTTAGGGTTCGTGTGTCAATTGTAGAATCAATGCCTAAATTTTTAGCAGTTACAAAATTAGGAAAACTGTGGGTTTTCTCTGTCATAAGTTTATGGAAAAACCAAGTCTTTTGTGAAAGTTAATTATCTATGTTGCTAGAAGAGTCTAACATCTTTGTCATTCTTGTAAATTGCTTTACTTTGGCACTTTAACTTCATAGAATGCTAATACTTGCTCAGATTTGATGAATTGATATGACCTTTCATCTGAAATCTGCAACAATAAATAATATTGGGCAAGGAATGCAGGAGTATACTCTTAAGCTTTTAGCATCCTAAAATAATATAAAATTTGAACATGGACTTAGCATTGTTTCCAATCTTAAAAATTTAGGGCTTAGCTGAGTGAATTTTAGGTATTTACAGTGAATTTGAGAGAAAAATATTATGTTAGTTGTCCAAAAAACAGAACCTAGCACCCATTAGGTGTTAGGTAATTAATGTAGATCAGTGTTAAGAGGGGGAGTCTGGAATATAATTCTGTTATTTGGTGCAAAAATGATGACATTTAACTGAAGTTTAATTTAGATGAACAAGTTTTAACTCAAGTTTTAAGTGCTAGGTGCTTAATGCTGCTAAAAATTTTTGTATGTTTATGTCTTTAAAAACATACATGTGAAAGCTTCCTTAGATTTGATGTGCCTTTGGGGTTTTTGCTTCAGTTTTGGAAGGAGACAAGCTTACTAAAAACACTGTATTGTATCTTGTATTGACATTTTATTATAGAATCATAGACTACTTAGGTTTGGAAAGGACCTTAGGTTTATCTACTTCCAACCCCTGTGTGTGGGCAGGGATACCTCACTATTATGTCCTTTTAAGAAACACATGAAGAGATTATTAAAACAGAAAAGGACAAATATTTTTTAATAGAGGAACAAGTTGAGGATTGTTCTGATGTATTTAAATTGACAAAACTTGATGTCAGTTGTCCTAGAGCACATAAGCTAGATAAATTGTTGTAAACCATTAACAGGTTCTCTTTGAAGACCTGGTGGGCACATATGCTTTCAGATGACTTCAAGAATTCCTTTTGTTCTGAATAGCACAAAACTTTGTATTTGCCCATGCTGGAATAACAACTACAATAACACAAGTCATTAAATATTCTATCCATGAATATTGGAATCATAGAATCAACTAGATTGAAAAAGACCTTTAAGATCAAGTCCAACCATTACCCCAGCACTGCCATGACCACCATTAAACCTTGTCCCTGAGGGCCTCACCTACATGATTTTTGAACACTTCCAGGGACGCCAATTCCACCGCTTCCCTGGGAAACCTGTTCCAATGCCTGATCACCCTCTCTGGGAAGAAATTTTTATTAAAATTAACTAAACCTCCGCTGGCACAGCTTGAGGCTATTACTTCTTGTCCTATTGCTTGTTACCTGGGAGAAGACACTGACCCCCACCTCATTACAGTCTCCTTTCAGGTAGTTGTAGAGAGTGATAAGGTCCCTCCTGTACCTTCTCCAGACTAAGCAACCCCGGTTCCCTCAGCCATTCTTCATCAGACTTGTTCTCCAGACCCTTTACCAGCTTTGCTGCCCTTCTGTGGGCCCAGTCCAGCACCTCAGTGTCTTTCTTATAGTGAGGGATGCAGAACTGAATGCAGGATTTGAAGTGTAGCCTTACCAGTGCTGAGTACAGGCAGATGTGCTGCCCTGGCCCTGCTGGCTATGCTCTTTCTGATGTAGGCCAGGCTGCTCTTGGTCTTGGCTGCCTGGGCACAAGCTGGCTCGTGTTCAGCAATTGTTAATTATTAGTAACTGAAATGTTACTTATGATGACAAATTCAGATTTACTTTCCTCATAGTTGGGGTAAATAACTGTGGATAATTACAAAATAGTAGATAAGATACAGTTTCATTTCAGTGATACTTCATTATCTTCTTAAAGTAGAACACTGTGTGATTAGATAAGCATTATTGATTTGATTTGAACAAAACTAGCTCACTGTTCTAATTATGCTCAGTAATTACTTTGTCTTTTGACTTGAAATATGGAATGGAATTTTCAAGGTAATATTCTGGTTCAAATCTCACTGGTAAATGCTCATGAATGAATAGATGCTTAAATTGCAAATTAAAGTCACTCTGATAGCCATATGGAGTATTATAGCATACCAGAGTTGTTGAGTTTGATACCTGTAACTGAGTGATGTTTTAGAAGAGAATTTACAGGATATAATGGACTGCAGTGGCAAGAGTTACCTGCAAATTTGAACTAAATTTAGGGGTAACTAACAGTGGATCGAATTGCTTCAATAAGTTCTGTCAACTTTATCTGAAATACCCTAGGAAAAGCTACTAAAGATGAAATTCCTTACTTTTAACTGAGAAACTGCTTTAAAAAGAAACAGTCATGGAAAAATATGTAATAGACAGTGAAACTTGAGACCTACAGGATGGAAAAGCTGGCAAGTGCTTGAGAAGTCCTCATACTCAGGAGAGAAGTAATAGGAACTGGATTGTGAAGAGTAAGCCTTATTTATGTAATGCATAAGAGCTCCAAGCTGATAATCAGAGATGATGGACATGGTCCCCTCTTCCTGCTTTGATGTAAATATGAAAAAAATTATGAGAATGAGCCCTAACTAGAAAGAGGTCCAAGCATACAAGTCTTGAGACTTTAATCCCAAGAGGGACAAGAGCTGCAGAGCTCGAGAATTCAGGCATAGAATGGCAAAGGGAATGTTACACCACTTCTCAGTGCCTCCCCCCAGCCAAGCTGCCCACTAAAATATAACCTAATAGTGGGTTGTCCTTCTACAGTGACTGAAATAAATTACTAGAAATGAACAGAGGCATACCTTGCTTCACCCTAATCTGCTTGGGGTAAAGCAATGGAATAGATTATCTTCTGACATACTTCAGAGTCTTTTGGTTGGGATTTTTTTTTTTTATTTTTAATTCAAAATACATGTTCAAAAAATCCTGTTTTCCATGTAAAAGGAGTTAAATTTCTTAGCTTTTTTCTTCTTTTTTAAATTGTGTAACTAAATATTTTCTACTTGCCAGCAATCCTCCTCAGTGATTGAAGATGATGGGTCTCAGTGCAATACTAAATAAAATTAAGTATTTAGCTCTTCCTTTGTTAAAAGGCATTTTGTGTTTAAATACTGAGCTTAAATTAATGACTGTACCAAAAGCCAGGGTACTCGTATTACACAAAAATCACTGTAATACTGTGTAAATTGTCATTAAACTTGCAACATTAGTATGAAGAACTGATTAGATTTTGACTAAAGTTTATAATTTTAAAATAAGTAATCAGTAATGGACAATGTTCTCATCATTTTTTGTGCTGTAATTTATTGTTGTTCTCTCACCTCAGGGATTAAGAGTCTAAGTAGCTGGCAGAGGAAAAAGAAGTGATTCTTAGTTATATATGTAGTCACACTAGTAAATGTGAATAGTATCCTTCAGTATTTTCCAAAAGTAATCATAAGAAGCTTATTTGAGAGGATCTGAGTTTAAACCACTTTAATCACTAATTATTAAACTTTCTCTAACTGGTCTCATGTTTCTTTGAAATGATAAAGTAGACTCCACTGAATTAAATTTTGGAGAAATTATGTACTTAAGTCTTCATTAATTAAAATTTCATTGATCAAAAGATAGATCGAAGTTTCTCATCTTATGCAAGCAAGCTAATCTCTCAAATGATCCCAAAGTTTGCTAGATTTACTTGCAAAGTGTTTGAAAATGTGTTTCAGACATTCAGGTCGTTTCAGATAAACACATTGTTCACTGAAAGCATCAACATTTCAATAAAAAAGGAAAAATCTAGCCACCACTTATTCAAACTCTTCCATATCTCTGTATTCAGAGAAATTGCAAATTTTGTAATAATATAGAATCATAGAATAGTTAGGGTTGGAAAGGACATTAAGATCATCAAGTTCCAACCCCCCTGCCATGGGCAGGGACACCTCGCTCTAAACCATATTACCCAAGGCCTCGTCCAACCTAGCCTTGAACACTGCCAGGGATGAAGCATTCACAACCTCCCTGGACAACCTATTCCAGTGCCTCACTACCCTAACAGGAAAGAATTTCCTCCTTATATCCAATCTAAACTTCCCCTGTTTCAGTTTTAACCCATTACCCCTTGTCCTACCACTACAGTCCCTAATGAAGAGTCCATCCCCAGCATCCCTATAGGCCCCCTATATATAAAGCAGTTTAGCCAATTTTTACTTTTAGTTAATACATAATTTTCAAAATACTGGAAATAGGGAGTTTTGCAACTGGTTTATTTATAAAAACAAATATTGAAAGATTAACGATGCTTGAATATTATTCTTTCTTCTGTAACTGAAATACGATGGAAAAATAGCTGGTACATATGAACTTACGTGTCTTAATAATACGTAGCTCTATGTGGTATGATAAAAATAGTTGGTGGTAGTTTCATTTTGCAAGATTACATTTTTCATTTTGAGTTTCTAAATTTGGTTTCTAGGTGATGAAAATCAAGTTTCAGAGTGTCATGCTACTGAAGGCTCTTGCAGAAGATTTAATGACCAAAAGAATAAGAACAATGGTGGGTTAAGAAAAAAAAGAAGACTCCAAAAGGTCAGTTTAACTGGACATAGTCTTTGTTAAGCTTTCTTTTTCTTGGAGAATCACGGAGTCCCTTTGTAGATACATTCTCTATGTGCTATCAGTTTAAAAGTTCTGAATCTCATTTTCCTTGAAATGTTCAGGCGGTGTTCAAGGCCAGGTTGGATGGAGTCTTAGGTGACATAGTTTAGTGTGTGGTATCCCTGCGTACAGCAGGGGATTGGAACTAGATGATCTTAAGGTCCTTCCCAACCCTAACTATTCTATGATTCTATGTTTTGCGAATGACATTCAGAGACAATACGTACAACCATGGAAACCAGCTTTCTGGCAACTTGTGGTGGTAGAGTCTGTGCCAACCTGACATTGTAAAGGAGGTTCATAAGCCAGCTCAAACTGTTTTTGTTGGAAAGCTAGTGAAGTAACCTGAAAAGATGTCTGTCCTTTCTGGACAAGTTACCAAATGGGGTAGATTTTTTGTTAGCTTTATAATAGATCATCCCCAGTGGATGTTTCTGCAGGATAAAGTTTTATGCAATTTTTTTTTCTATGTTAAGGTAAAGCTATATTTCTTAACTTAGTATTAAGCTCAGTTTGGATGTAAAAAAAAAAAAAAAAATGGAGTGAGAGCATTGGGTCAGTACTGAAACAGTTTTAGGTGGTTTTGCCTTGTAAAAGTTTTGTCTAACTAAATATATAACCAGTCAGGAAAATAGATAGCAGTTCTTTTTATCAGTAAGTAGCAAGTCATACAAATAAAATGAGCACTAAAAGATGTCTGAGATAATTGATTATATTAAATAAACTAGACAGGTGTTTCATTGGTAGCTATTGTTGGAGTTTCAAAGAGATTCAAAGAAATTTTGATCCTCTTTCATGTAAAAGTTCCAAGGTGGTGCGGTTACTAGGCAGTTCAACCTTTTAAACATTGTGAATGTGGGATATTAATCTCCATGGGCCAATGATGAAGTCTGGATTAAAATCATTTTTTGGCTTTTTGTCTGCATCTTACTGCTTGTTAGTTTTCTTAAGGGGTTTTTTGGCTTTCTTTTCCTAAGGATATACATATACATTATTTGTATAACTAATAACTGTAAGGATGAAGAATATACAAATCAACTCAATTCTAGAGTAATGTCCTATAGAAACATCATAAGATGGTCTGCTTTTTAGGCTAAAGTATCAGTCCAGAGCAGTTTAATTTCCTGCCACAAAAAATCTGACTAAGGCTGCTAAACATATATCCACAAACTACACTCAGTGGCTCTTCCTCAGGCTATCTGCAGTATTGGTGCTTGGAAGTTTATCAGATTTGTTGGTACTGATTTCTCCTTCTGTGTAATTGTGCTGCAAGAACTTTACAAAGTAGTGCTAATTTTGATTTATTTCTCTTAAAAAAATATCCCAATGTAACTGTTACATACTGAAGGGAAACAAAAAAAGGTATGAAATTCTTTTTTATTGGTACCCTTTTTCAGACCTGGCCTTGCAGCTGAAGGTGGTTTCTTTGAATGGTTCTGCTCAGTATCTGCTTGGAAAGCATTCTCTGTGAGGTGTTTAACACTAGCAAAAGCTAAGTAGTAGCTGAAGAAAATTCCTATTCAGCATTTTGAGATTGCTTATTTCTTTCACCCATACAATTTGACTCCAGTATCAGTAAAATAGCAGTACATGCTTTCTTCCATGTCATTAATGTTGGAGTTTTTTAATAATTTTAAGGGTTTCCAGGTGCAGTTTCAGTGTGCAAAATTCATATAGAGACAACATTGGGGTCTTTTTCATTGAAAAGTAAAAAGAACTAGACAGAAAATTTTACGTGGTTTAACCAGACAGTCTGGCAACTAGACTGTTGCACTGAAAAGTTTTACTTTGTATTTTCTTCAAGCAATTGTCTTTTAATATATATTAAATGCTTATAAGTATGCCTATTTAAGATCTATTTTCCATTGTATGTGTGCATACATACATGCGAAATTTATAAAGCCAATGTTGGAAATCCCTAAAAAATCCTTAGTGAAGCAATTTTAAGAGGATATTGTTCCAAACAAAATTAGACTATGAGCTGTTGTAAGTAATTAAGTTGCAAAGCTTCTCTAGGACCAGTCATAATACATTCTTGAAGTTTAAAAAAAAACAGTGAAACATTATAAAAAAAACTTTATTAAACACTTTTTCTCAATGACTGCAGCTTAAACACTGCAACAGGTTGCTAATGCTAGACAATGTGAACGTGGAGTTAAATTAGGAAACTTTAGTTTGTTTTCTCAGAGTAAAAAGTGTATGAGAGTGTACTGTGAGGGTGGTGAGGCACTGGAGCAGGTTTCCTAAGAAGCAGTAAATGCTTCATCCCTGGCAGTATTCAAGGCCAGGTTGGACAGAGCCTTGGACAACATGGTCTAGTGTGAGGTATCCTTGCCTGTTGGCAGGGGGTTTGGAACCGGATGATCTTAAAGTCCTTTCCAACTTTAATCATTCTATGAGATTCTAAGAGAGATATCTCTTAAAAAAAAAAAAAAAAAAAACCACCAAAAAAAAAAACTAGAAAAACAACAAAACCCACCTTTAAATTATAGTAATTGTAGAGTATATGCAGTTTTGTATTCCACAGTTCCAGTATGAAGCTTCAGCTCATATTGCTGGTGTTCTAGGAATCTGTTGCGTTATCTGTTAAATTTGTTACTTAGCTACAAGTCTCTTAATTTGAGAAGAGATGTAAATGGCAGGGTTTTTTCATAGAGTAAGAGTTTGAAATCTAATACCTCTTTAAAAACGTTTTAGAGATTTTCTGAATGTAATTGCTAGACAATGTCTGAACTGAAACTTTTTAGAGTACTTTAGTTATAACTCATTCACTACAGTGAATTCAGGCCAGTAGGCATTTGGAGTCCACTGTGTGATGGTAGATATTAAATAGCCATATAAAAATATATTTTGGAAATATAACCAGGTGTGTTAACATTGTTTACTTCCATAGTTATTTCAACTTGTCATTTGTAGTTTCTTTAATATAAATCAAGGTTTAGAGTCTGGATTTCTCTGCTGTGCTATTGTGTTATACATTTGTTTTCTTCAAAACCTCATGCAGATTGGGTTGAGTTTCTTGTATTTTGTTTTAGCTAAAGTTAAATTCAAGAATTACCTTATTCAGGTACTTCTAATATCACAATTTTTCATTGCAAGTACTCATTTTCTTTCCACCTATACTATTTGTATAGGCGTGTTTATTGTACTGTAAACGTTGTAGACTTCTAATCAATTATCTAGAATTGTACTGTCAACAGAAGCCACAAAGAGCAGTTTATATGGGAGCTCCAGGTATGTTGAGGAAAGATAAGTAAGATTTTCAGGAATCTTTAATGGTTTCAGGAGCAAGCTTTTTGGATTTTAAACCACACCACCACTCCAAAAAACCCAGGCATTTTGGTGGTTAGGGCATATTCAAATGCAGCATGTAAAGGTAGATTTATAAAACTGTCCTTTAGATTTGAACTTGTTTGTCTTGGACATGACAGCTCATAATGGAGGATAGTTCCAGATTCCTCCATAAAAACCTGGTAAGGATAAATGCTGTAGATTAATGCCTATGAATGTCAGCAGGTGGCTTCCCTGGTCTAGAAATCTAAGTAGGTGATACTGAATTGCAGGGTTAAAATAAACCCTTTATGCACTGTGATGCATTTTTCAATTATTCCGTAGAATCAAATACATTGTTCCTTATTGCTTTGCATAGGGAAGACAAAGTGAAATAACTAAAAATGATAAAAGCAAAAAATGTTTTCAAACAAGATAGTTACAGTGGTGTTAATCTGTTGGTAAGAGGATTGAGGACTCATTGCTTAATGTCACTAAAGACTTTACATTTATCACAATGCCTGCAGTATGCCATAAATGTAAACATTTTGCTCTTTAAACAGATCAGAGAAAAAAACATAGAATCATAGAATGGAATTACTATACATAACCAGTTAACTGCCATTTTTATTCAAATAAAAGTTGTTTCATGTTTTTATGAGGGGTATAAGGGGTGATAGATAATTTTTACAGGATCTAACAGTATTGTATCGCTAGAAATGCAACCTGAATAAATTTTACACTTAAACCCACTCTTAAAATACTGTCTTCTGCGGGAACAGAAGCTGTTCAACCATGTGAAGAAAAAAAAAAAAAAGAAAAAAAAAACAAAACCCCAGTTAAGCATCATAAGGGATAATTAAAACCATATTTTCACAGAGAAGACAGTATGGGCTTAACTGAAATTCCTTCAGTTTTGTTTTTAAACAGATTCATTTTGGCTTGTATTCCTGTAGCTCTTGGATTTGGGTGAAGATGAAGTTATCAACATTGAACTTTGAGATTTTTGAAGGAAGAAATTTTTACAAAGAATCTAAGCTCATGCCGAGGAACAATTAGTTTGAAGCAGGCCATTGTTATATCCTGTGATCAAAATCCTTTTTGAAAATATTTTATTCATGGCAAAACAAATTTTAGTGACCTGAAATATTTGTAACTATAAAACATGAAGCATCTTGCCAGGCATTCAGGAAGGTAACTTTATGTCTATACTTGGTATGTGTATTTGTATACTGTCAAAAATAGATCGTATCGGTTTAGGGGACAGCATCTGGTTGTTTTCCTTCCAATTTTTATTTAGTAGTTGCTTTGAATAGGTAGATATCTTAAGCACTGATACTCAAAATGTTATTTGAGCCACAAATGAATATTAAACTAGTGTGAATTCGACAAGCATGCAAGCTCATTCATGGCTAATAATAGAAACTGGAACTACCTACACATTTATGTTCTGGAGAAAATAGCTGATATAATGGGGCTGGTGGACAAGTGGCCACTGAAACTTATACAGATTGATTTCTTCTGGATATAGCAATGAGATGAGTGAGTGAAGCTACAAATTACAAGAGTGTTTACATGTTACATTGAAAAACTTAGGGTGCTGACCAGTGTCTGGTGGTGTGGTTTTATGCATTTCTGATTTGAACCTAGAATGTTTCTTA